TCTCCTTCGTACCGCGCTTCGTCTAATCGTACTAGTAGCGCGCGCTTTATTTCGTCACAGCGGATATCATCCGGTCGCGTACTTTGTCTCGTCGTCGAGTTCCCCGTCGCGATCGATCATGCGCGAGACCGACGCACACCGGTTGATGTGAATATAATTTCGTCCGTCTCACGCCGTCTCGTATCCGCGAGGGATAAATCTTTTCCTCGAACGTTGCCTCGAACGTAACTCTTCTGCGATGTTAGCCAGGATGAAAGAAAGAGACGAATCGATTCGCGCCTTCGCCAAAATGGACCAACGATATTACAATAGAATCGTATCCTTTAGAACCGAACGTCTATTCGGCTTCCAATCTAATCCGCGCTATCCTGCGAGGAAAAGAATCGAGACGTTTCTTCTAGGTGCTTCTGGTTTTTTCACCCAGCGGCTGGTTCATCCGTTATCGGAGCTTTCCAACGTCCCTTGGCTCGAGAACAAACCTTGTCTCTCCGATTCCACCGATCCCGATACCGCATAATCGAATCCGGTATTCCCCTCTTTTTCGCACACACGCGTAATTGGGACATCGACCTTCCGACGTTGCAATTTTCTACCTCGAAATCGAATGAAACGCCGACGGGATCTTTGTCCAATCTTGTCGGATTACAAGAACCGGTTATATTTGTATCGTAAAAGATCGGAAAGCGTTCGTGTTTGTTTCCGAATGGATCCCGACGGATCGACGATAAGTCGATACGAGGAACGGGGACACATTTCACGGACGCAGCGTTTCATTTTCCCCGTTGTCTCGGACGAAATAAACTCCGCCCGCGGATGAAACTGCAAGCCCTGAAGCTCGCCGGTCGTTTATCATCCGCGTGATCGTTTGTGGCAAAGCGAAACGGAACCGGGGCCCGGGTTTTCGCACGACAAGCGCCAGGGCGACAAAAACTGTGCGGCAAAAACGATAGCGAGCTGATCGACGATTTTCTCGTTTCGGCCGCGTTCGAGATTTCCCGATTTCGGAATTAAACGCGAGGTAGATATGGAGGGAGGGGAATGGTTCTCTCCTTCCTCCTTTTGAAGGGTATCGCGACTGTGACTTTTTCCCCTTTGCCGCGCTGTCTCTCGCGTGAAAAGGGAAAGCTGCCGCGGAGGAAACGAAACCCTTTCATCCGAGATATCTTCAATCGTAAACCGCCGGCATAAAGAACCGTCTGCGACACTGGGAGTCAGAGAGGTCACCGCCTAGGCCATTCATCCACCTAGACAATGCCCCCTCCCCCTTTTATCGAGACTGCCGACGGAACCCGCGCGCGGGTATCCTGCTGTACGCGCGAGTACGCGTTCGCGTCTCTCCTTCGTGGACGAGCCATCCCCTCTCGAAGCGAGAGTAACGCAAAATGGAACGTCCGACGACTGAGACGGAAGACAATGGCGCGTCACGTACGGATTTATTCTTTCACCTTCAGGGGAGGGGAGAGTTCGAATAGAATTTTACGTGAATTTTTTCGCAACGACGCGACGAATCGCTATTTGATCGCGTCGGTATTCAAAAAGACCGTCTCTCTCTCTCTCTCTCTCTTTCTCTCTGTCTCTCGGTTGAAAAGTAAAGTCGCGAGACATTTTTGTTCGAGAGGGTCTTTAATATGCAGATAACGAAATTAGCCAGGGAAATCATACTCATCCATATTCAAAAGATTCGCCCGGGAAGAATGACTATCCAGCCGGATTACGGATCCAGCAGACACACCGGGAACGAATCATCCGGTTGTCTCGCGATTTCATCCACGGTGCGTGCTCGCTGTCGCGTAAACGTACGGGACGAGACACAAGCGCGGCACTTTCTGTCGCGATACACGTGTACGTGAGACGAGGGAGAAGTTCTCGGCGGGGCTGAGGGTTAAACAGCTGACGCGATAAAATCGAGAACGTAAGCTTTTTTTTTTCCCGATCGGTCGATCGGACGCGATATTTCACGGATCCCGTCGTAAACGTCCGTCGGATGCTCTCTTCTCGCTCGAACAGGAAAACTCGACTCGCCGATTCGAAATGAAAGGAACACCTGTCTGTGTGCACGTTCCGCCTGTTTGTGTGCGAAAAAAGAAAAACGTGGATTCGAGAAGGGGACAGAGAGGGTGAGAGAGAAGAGTGCGGGGTAATAAATGGACGCGATGAATAATAACTTGGTTATTGAAAGAAAATTCCGGCCGATACGAGTTCTGAAACTCCGAAACATTAGCCCAGTTCGAGGAGCAACGCGGCTAAGGGAGATCGACTCTCCTCTTTAGTCCCCCCAGGACCTCCGTCGTTTCTTCTCTCTTTTTCGCCTTTCGCCTCCTTCGCCGAGTTCTCTCCGAGAGCGTACGCTCTCTGGCCGTCGTTACCGATGAGCCAACGTCCCAACCTACCAACCTTCCCGGCCTCCGTGCCTTGCCTCCAAGCCACGTCCGCATAATGGCTATTCAGATAGCGAATCGATTTATTTCCCCAGGGGCTTTCGGATACTTGGAACCTTTCTCTCCCTCCCTTTCTTCCTCTACTTCACCTCGTGAACTTGGAACGGATCTATCCTCCGTTCGTCTCGCAGAGAGTTCGAGAATTCTTTCTCTCGGAACGGAAAGCTTTCGAGATACGCGTGACCAAAAAGATCCAAAAGCTTGGTGCTTTTTTTTTCTGTTTTCTTTTTTTCTTTACGTACGCTCGCAAAGCGTGGAACAGCACGCGGAAACATAGATCGTGGAAAAGGTGGATCGTGGAGAGATCGGGAAGAAGGGGAAACGTGAAGCTTACCTTGTTCGGGTATCCGTTGTATCGGAGAAGCTTCTTGCAGCATTTGCCGCGGTTCTCGTAATAAAACATCTGGACCATCTCTGCGCGATCGGTGGCCGCGCTGACGGTGAACGGCGCACCGTCGGTTCCGAAGCTCCTCGACGAGGAGGCTGCCGACTGCTGCTGGGCCGGTGATTCCCGGCGGCCGATCGGCACGCACGGGCACCACCCCGAGACCATCACCACCACCGATCGACCCGGATCCAGCCCGATCCCACGTCTTCCGCCTACCTTCGCGATCCTTCTTTCTCTCGCGGGGCCTTGTTTCTCATTCTTCCCCCCTCCCCCCTCCACCTCCACCCTCTCGCCCTTTCTTCTTTTCGATCCTCACCCGAGTCTCCTCTTCCTCCCTCTTCCCTCGTCGTCGGTCGGCCTCTTTGTCCCGCGGGTTTCCACCTTTCTCTTACGGCTAGTAGTTCTCCACAGTTTTCTTTGGCACTTCGTTTCCTCGACGAATACTTTAGGACAGACGACTTCGTTGACATTGACGCAATCTCCTCGTCTGCGCGATCATTGCCTCGTCCGTCGCCCGTCGTTTCGTCGCTGCCGACGAAATTCCGAGATGTCGACGTCCCTCGTTACCGTTACTCCTCGCCGCTGTCACGCACGACCTGAGAGAAATCAACACTCGTGTCACACACACAGTCGAAGTTTAATTAATTAACTGACGATGATTAATTAAGTAAACGCGTTCCTCCTTCGCGGGAAAATTTGCGACAAAAGAGCTATCTAAGGGGTCTATTTGAGCGTGAATAATCTTCATTTCAGAGTGAAACCCTAGCAGGAGGAACGAGCGTACCGCCCGGAAGCGATATCCTCGTGCTCCTGCACGAAAGAAGAAGGGATTCGATTACCTCGGTAATCTCTAAACCAGCCATCCGGTGGGTATCTTTTACCAAACGGAAGTCGAGGATACCGACGAAATCGATCGTCCGAATCCGATCGATGCGACGATACACACTGCCGCGAAACTGATCGACAAAATCGACGAACAGGGTGACAAAAATTACTTTTCAGACAAGCTCGAAGCTGAAAGATCGGCTTGATAATTTTATTACATTAGATACATTGTATTCGCATTGTTTCCTACCGAGATATTTCGACCACGCGGCAATAGCAGCAGCGCGAGCACGAAAGAGACAGAGAGAGAGAGAGAGAGAGAGAGAGAGA